GTGTAAATAGACAAAAAAAACCCCTGTGAAAATGTCTATTTTTATAGTATTAAAAAAGCCACAAATGGAGATATTTAAATTCTTTTTTTTTTTATTTGAAGTAAAATATTTAAATGAGGATATTTAAATTCTTACTTTCTAATGTTCTAACTATTTTATTTTTTTATACTGATAAAAACTAATTTTATTTTTGTTATATCTTTTAATTAAAAAAATGGAAAGGGGTTTTTTTATTTTTAAAATTATAATATAATTTCTTTATAACTTTTAAATTATTCATACACTAAATTATGTTAAGAAAAAAAAAATTACAATATTATTTATATGTTTATTGATGATTTTTTTTTTTTTTAATATAATATTTCCATTTAATTTGTATACTAAATTTTTAATAATCAGAAAAAGTCAAGAAAATCCAAAAAAAAAAAAAAAAAAAAAAAAAAAAAAATCGAATCATCATCATCTTCAACGATTTGAATCCCGATGCCATCTCCATCGTCTTCCCACTTAATTATTGAATCCCAACCAGCAAAAACAAACTAGAAAATTCTATCTATTTTTTTTGTCAAGATCCAAAACCAAACAAAACAAAAATTAAAAACAATGGGAAAGAAGCTAGTTTTGTTTCTTCAAACCTAGCAACAACACCAAAAAAGAAAATAAAAAAAAAATCCACAAAATCCGTTGAACACGAACGCATATGTGATATGTGGTGAACAAAGGCTCGAACGCCAGTTTGTAATCGGGGTTGTAGGGCTCCGCTAGGCTCCAATTGCCGCCGCCGCCGCCGAAGAGGGCTTCTAGATCAGAGTCCGGAAGCTCCTCCGATCGTCAGCGCCTTTGTTCGTCCTCACGAAGTGCTCGATCCTGGACTTCGCGCGGCGTCTATTGTAGAGCAGCACAGCGGAGCAGCCGACGGTGGAGGCTGTGCTGCGGTGGTGGGAGGAGGCCGGTTGAATTGAAGTTGGGAAGATGGAGATTAAGGTTTGTGTAACCCTAAAAATCATGAAATTACATATTAATAAAATTTGGGGGTAATTATGTAATTTCAGGTCTAAAAAATCTTCACCAGCTGCACACTCGGCGAGTGTGCAACACGAAAATGCACTAGGGGGGTTTTTGCCTTTAACAAAATTTCATAGGGGGGTTTTTGCTAGTTTATTTATCATAGGGGGGTTTTTGCTAGTTTGAAATTACACAGGGGTACTTTTTGCAGTTTACTCTTCTTTATATCACGTATGATATATTAATGTAAAAGTTGCAATATTTTCACACACTATGTACAGGGACAGATATATTAAAAATTGAAATATTTAAGGTTGAATCATTTTCAACAAAAAAAATGGAAAAGGGGATAATGTGGACGTAAGGGGTATTATTGGTATAAAACCTCCAGCTGTCAGTTTTTCAGTAAATAATGTGCCACGTCAGCAAAATCAAGATTTCAACCGTCAAGTTATTAACAGAAGGGGGAAAGTGGTACATCTCATACATCAGGGGGGTAAGTGTTACAAAACCCATACTTTAAGGGTGTAAACTGTATTTAGCCCTTTTTATTATTATATGCTAAAATAATATTAACTTTAACACATCAAAATCGCAGTCTGACATAGTAATGTTGCTGGGCTAACAAAATATTACTGCCCAATTAGTAATGTTACTTGTTAACACAGTAATAATACGGTAGTGTTATTACTGTCCTTACTTACTGTAATATTCATGTATGATGGGCATACAATGAAGACAATATAAAAAAGACGAAAAAAAATATCATCACCGGAAGAGGAATTT